AAATATCACTTCTCATGTCAATTCATGGCTGATACAGTAGCAATGAATGCAGCTGATTTCATCATAACCAGCACATACCAGGAAATTGCTGGAAGGTTTGCTCATATATCCTTAAACACACATGATTGAGAACAAGACAGTAGACAAACAAGAAATCTAAATTTGAAATTTTTTTTTTTTTTTTTTGCAGCAAAGATAGACCTGGACAGTATGAAAGCCATGCTGCATTTACACTCCCAGGGCTGTGTAGAGTTGTTTCAGGGATAAACGTGTTTGATCCAAAGTTCAACATAGCTGCGCCAGGAGCAGACCAGTCTGTCTACTTCCCTTACACAGAGAAAGAAAAAAGGTTCACTCAATTTCAACCTGCCATTGAGGAACTTCTTTTCAGTAAAGCGGATAACAATGAGCATATGTACGTGACTTAGTTGCCCTCTTGTATAGTAATATTCAGTTATGAATTACCACATTCTTTCTAATGTTTGACTTTCACTTCTGAAATTGTTATGGAAACAGTGGATATCTAGTAGATAGGAGGAAGCCAATTATCTTCTCAATGGCAAGGCTTGATGTTGTGAAGAACTTAAGCGGGTTAGTTGAATGGTTTGGCAAGAACAAGAGATTGAGAAATTTGGTTAACCTTGTCATAGTAGGGGGATTCTTTGACCCTTTAAAATCAAAAGATAGGGAGGAAATGGCAGAAATAAGAAAGATGCATGACTTAATTGACAAGCACCAACTGAAGGGTCAGTTTAGATGGATTGCTGCACAGACTAATAGGTATCGCAATGGAGAGCTCTACCGTTGCATTGCTGACACAAGAGGAGCCTTTGTGCAGCCTGCTTTGTATGAAGCATTTGGATTAACTGTCATCGAAGCAATGAACTGTGGCTTGCCCACTTTTGCTACCAACCAAGGAGGTCCAGCAGAAATTATTGTTGATGGGGTCTCTGGCTTCCACATTGACCCCCTCAATGGAGATGAATCCAGCAAAAAAATTGCTGATTTCTTTGAAAAATGCAAAGTGGATCCATCACGATGGAATGTGCTTTCTGCAGCCGGATTGCAACGCATAAATGAATGGTAACCAACTCATCATATTTTTCCTAAGCTTCTAGCACAATTATTTTAACATTTATGTTACACCTTTTTGTAGCAACATTCCCTTATACTGTGCATCAATGAGAAATTAAATTTCAAACTTTTCACTTGTCTTTTTCTTACAGCTATACCTGGAAAATTTATGCAAACAAGATGGTAAACATGGGGAACATTTACACCTTTTGGAGACAAGTGAACAAGGAGCAAAAAGAGGCAAAGCATAGATATATTCAGATGTTCTATAATCTTATATTCAAGAATTTGGTAAGCTAATATTTAGTCTTCTGAACACATTATCATTCACCAATTATTGTCTTTTAAATTTCAGAAAAGGTAAAACACTTTTGATATGTAAATGTCACAGGTTAAGACTGTACCTGTTGCAAGTGATGAACCTCAACAACTAGAGGCCAAGCAGCCGAGTCTCAAATCTGTAAGCTCAAGGTCTGTTACTCAACGCAATAAATCATTTTTCATCTTTGTGAAGGGAAAAATGATTAAGTTAATTGAAATATTGAATATGTTCTTTTGTATTTCCCCTCATGGGATTTGTATATATGGCATGCTTTTAAATTTCTCAAATTGTTACTTCATTATTTCTTTGTTAGCCTGCACCTTTGTGCAGTTAAGAAATGTTTTTCCATTTTCTCCATGCTAACATCTTTTCTCTTTTTTCCTCCCTGATTTGCAACATCAGACGTTCACAGTCCAAATTGCAAAGGTTAGGTTCATTACATAACACTGAATTAGCTCATCATTATTAGTTGTGTTGAGTATTCTCAAAATTACTTGCTTCCTTTCAGGTTCTTCGGAAATTAATGTCTCAACCACAAAGCAAGTTAATTAGTACGATGCATGTTGTCACTCTGGAGATTAAGTGATCTTTCTCTGATGTATACACTTACATTTGTTTTTTATTTTTTTATTGTTCATTGGACGAGAGGTTCGGCTACTGATGAATAATAAGAATTATTTGATGTGCTGAATAAAATGCCTTATGTAAGGAAATTCAGTTCGAAGATGACGCAATGTTTAATTTAGAACTTAGCATGCTATCATTCCACGGCGAAACAATAGATAGAGACTGAAAATTTGCATGCTATTATTAATAGTTTATAATGAATGAATAATAGTATTTGGCTAAATAGATAAGATGACTAACATCTATAATATATTCACCTTATAACAATTGGTTGGATAAGTGTTGAAAACTTGTTGAACTTCACCATTTACGCAAAAGTATCACAAAATAATTCTGACTCTACCATTCTCCATTGGATTGTTGAACTTTAGTTTTAAAAACTTGAGGCAGTTTTTCAAAATGAATTATAGCTACAAACTTTGTAAATTGAATGCGATGAAGTTTTAATAATAATAAAAAAAAAAAAAAAAAAACTGTGATGAAGTTGCTAGTTTGACTCCGGAATAGAAATCAAATTATACAATTATTAATTTAGGCTATTTTGCACCAGAAACTTTAGATTATGTGGACCCCTCGGTGTGAATAGGTATTTTTGAACTTTCAGAATTTCAGATTTGAAGCTGAAAAAGATATGAAAAATTAATTATTATGGAAGTAAATATAATATTTTATCGTTCAGAATAATTCTAAGGGTATAATTGAAACAAGCCAAACAACTTTCAAATGGATCTAACGTTGGGAAAATGCACTTCCCTACCTTTTGTGACCACATATATAAAGTAAAAACAATTAATGGTTGCCTATTTCGCTTTTGCAAGACAAAATTTCAATTTCTATATACTTGTTCTATCTTCTTAACCATTTTATGTATCTTTTCAAATTGAATATATATTATAGAACTCTCATTATATAATACAACTATTCAGAGTTAAAAAGTGAAAAAATTTGATAATTATATTTTAAAATTTTAAAATAGATCATTATTTTTATTCTAGTTAAATTTTATATTAGATTAACTGATTAATTTTATAAAATAATTAATCAAAAAATTAATAAAAGATAAAAAATATATTTATAAAATTTAAATTATATTAATAAAATCAATTTTTAATTAAGATATAAAAATTTAATATATAAATTTGAAGTGAATTCTATCTTAAAATAAGATAAAAGTTAAAAGTTTAATTTATTATTATTATTATTATTATTTATTTATTATTTATTTATTGATATAAAATAATGATTAATTTTAATCATTAAATTTTAAAATAAATAATTATTAAAAAAATTAATATTTATTTTTAGAATAAATTTTTTAAAATTAATATATAACACATATATATTTTTTAATAAAATAATATCACTTTTAAAATAACAATTATTTATAAAATAGATGAATAAGTTAATCTAAACTACAGCGTAAATGGGTTTATCATAATAAACATCAATCAATTTAAACTACAATTTTTTTTTACTTACATTGTTTATTTCTAAAGGTTTTGGATTAACATTAACGTAAGCCTATTTTAATTATTTAATTAATCATAAAAATTTACAATTTTTCATGCAGTCTCAACTGTTTTTCATTATTATATGAGACTCCCACTACAAGAAATTTTGATATTACTTATATAGATTATTTATCTTTTAGAATACCCCTTCCCTTTATATTTTTATTATTTATTATTAATTATTTTTCCCTATTACATTTTTATAGGCTTCAATTATTATCATATTAATAGAATTGTCATTGGCAGAGTTAGAGGCTGATACTCCAACCACTAAGCTACTAGAATTTTTCGATAATAATTTATAAATAAATTATATTTATATACAAATATATTTATATATTTATATACAAATATATTTATATATTTATATATATTTATATACAAATATATTTATATGTTTTTATATATTTTTATATATTTATATATAATTAAATATTTATTTTTTAAAATTATTTAATTTAAGAAATTATTATAAATTAATCTAATTATGATTAAATGAAATTAGATTAATTTATAATAATTTCCTGATTTTCTTGTAGTGTCTCTCAAAATTTTGGGCCATGTCTCTTCAACTTCCAAGAAGTCCCCACTCGTTTGGCATCTGAAGCAATGTTTTGTACTACTATTTTACGCCTACAACAAATAACATAGAAAACGAGGAAAAAACGAAGGAAAATTTAGTTAGTCTACGTTGGAATAGAGATGAGGAAGAAAAAAGCAAAGAGAAAGCATAAACTCATAAAGGAGAAAAGGCACCGAACGATGAATTCATGAATGGGAAAGCATGAGATAACTTGCAAGCAATCTTGTTATGCCACGTGGATAACTTATTCGTTCACGTGGCAAAAGCTGGCCCCACATGGGTCCCTCTTTGCTGTCCATGTGCCATTGAAATGAAACTAATGTTTCAACCTACTTTCCTACTTCGTTTTCATCCTTTACGTTTTTCATTCTTTTTTTCCTATTTGGGTAGTATGTAAGGAACCTCAATTTTTGTCCATGTGCCGTGTGTCTAGAAAACTAAGCTCACATACGTTGTTAATTTAAATAAAGTTTATCGTATTTTATTTTTTTAAAACCCAATCGTTTATGCTAACACGAATTTGAAGATTAAGTTATTTTTAAAGTAATAAAAACACCATGTGAAAGCTAGGACCTTTTTTTAAAGTTTCCTTCTTTGAAATAATAGCTAGGTTGTTTTGCTACGTACGTGGATGAATATAGGATCCAAGAAACAACAAGCAAGAAGCATAGGATCAATGCAGAAGAGAAGAGAATAATGCATAACATATTATTAACTGGCAAATGGGTATGGGTATTAATTCAAGCTTGATAGCAAAGATCACAGGAATCCATGCATTTGATAAAAAAATAAAAAATAAAATGTAGTTAAAAAGAAAAAGAGATCAAGGGTAGTAGTGTACTGACACGACCCTGATCAAACTTTTTCTTTTCTCTCTCTTCAAATGTCTTTTTGTCTTCTCTATCGAAACCCCAAGCAAACCCCTTCCACCCCCTCCTCTCTGACTCTTATCTCTCGTGTCCCTGTGTTTGTTTGTCTCTCCCACTTTCTGCCTTTGGATCTTCTTCGTCCTCAAGGTCTATGCCCTTTCTTTCCTCTCTCTATATTATTACTGTATATTTTGTATTATAAGTATATAAAAAACGTCATGCTTGTTTAATCTGCTAACATGGTTCTTTTTGGGCGGTATTTTGCATGACAGGGAAGGGAATTGAAGCTTTGTGCACTAGTTGATATTCCCAAGTTGTTAAGATAAAGAGGAAGAAGGAGGTCCAAAGTATATACAAATATAGAAATGGCACCTGTTTTGCCTCCCGGTTTCAGGTTCCACCCTACTGATGAAGAACTTGTTGCTTATTACCTTAAAAGGAAGATCAATGGCCGAAAGATCGAGTTGGAGATCATTCCTGAAGTTGATCTCTACAAGTGTGAACCCTGGGACTTACCAGGTATAATTCATTACATGCTTACTCAGCTTGTCCGCCTAACATATTTTCATTATATATGAATCTCATGCATGGATATGCATATATCCTTTCTTTTCTTTTCTTTTTTTCTGTGAGGAGGGTTTTATTTGTTGAGATCAAAGATTGAAAATCGACAATAAGAAAATCCCATGATGATGAACAAATTTTAACATCATTAAGATAAATTTTGATAAAATATCTCAATTTTCATCTTTTTTATTATATGTAAATAGTTATTACATAATGATTTTGTAGAGCTTAACATATGCAACCTAAAACACTGTTTCTTAAAAAAGTCGCACGCGCCTTAGGAGCGATTTGTTTCCGACGTATGTATTGAGTAATGATGAAACACAGACTTGGTTTCTTGGTCAAGTATATTTTTGTGCTTTATCAGAAAATATCTAATGCCATATATTTGGTGGAAAGGATTGTACTTAAGAATTCTAAAGAGGATGGTCCCTTCAGCTTTAGGGTTCCTATTGTGATGGTCAAGCTAGTAATGAGACAATAGTAGATTCCCAAGTCAAAAAGCGTACGCTGAAAAAAAGGATTACACTGTATTATACACTATATAATTGTACATTTCTACACGACTCCCATGCAATATACCTTTTACGTTTTCTTATAACTCTTCTCCATTTGCCTTTGCTTTACCGCCTTTGGAGTTGACGTGAAGACTGTGAAATATATATGGGGAAAATTATTAAACAGAAGAAACCTTTGCTATAAGTGCAAGTGTTTGTGAAAATATTGAAATTAAATTTGAGTATATGTTGTCAAAATTACAGGGAAATCATTGTTACCGGGGAAGGACCTGGAGTGGTATTTCTTCAGCCCTCGTGATAGAAAATACCCGAATGGATCAAGAACAAACCGTGCAACAAAATCTGGGTATTGGAAGGCGACAGGGAAGGATAGGAAAGTAAATTCAAAGGCTCGGGCTGTGGGGATGAAGAAAACCCTAGTTTACTATCGAGGAAGAGCACCCCATGGCTCTCGTACAAATTGGGTTATGCATGAATACCGTCTTGATGAGACACAATGCGAAACTGCTTCCAGCTTGCAGGTTTTCATCGCCTCTTCACTCTTTTTCTTTTATTTTTCTGTACACTCTTATTTCATTTTCACTTTTTGAATATGGTGGGAAAAATGTAGTTTCAGGATGCTTATGCTCTCTGCCGTGTGTTCAAGAAGACTACAGTGATCCCTCCAAAAGTTGGGGGACACTACGTTAGCGTTCCCAATGCCAACCAGATTTCTAGCGATCAATCATCAAGCATTGAACTATACTCTGAGGGAAGGGATGAAGATTTGGATAGCCCAAATTATTTCATGTCTACGGATACTTGCTCACCCCAAAACGTTGGAAGTGACACTCCTCTCACTATCAATGGTGTGACGACAAGGGGTCATGAGAAATGGTCACACTTCTCATCACAAGACCCATTATTTAGTCTTCCAACTTCTTCATATCCTAATTTTGGAGCCATAGCATACCCTCCATCCAAGGTACGTTCACTTAAAACTTTCTGTACAAATATTGAATGTTGTCCTTCCTCTTACACGTGATTTAATTTGCAGGTGGATATAGCACTTGAGTGTGCAAGGATGCAACATAGATTTGTTATGCCCCCTTTGCAGGTAGATGATTTCCCTGATGTTGGAATATCAGAGCTGAAAATGACACAAGCCTCTAGTTCCATTCAAGGAAGCAGAACTGAAACGGATATTTTGCAGGAATTTCTTTCAGTTGCTCATGCCTCTAAGGAATTAATAAATCAATCCTGCTACTCACAGGAATGGGGTGGCAATGATTATTATGCTCCTTCTGAAGCCGATTTTACCTTCATGGTTGGCACTAATTACAATCATTCAAATGAAATGAGCTCAGTGAGTTATGTTGACAAAGCATGGGAAGATTCAAACACAAGGACAATAGAGATAGAAGACGTTGAAGAAGAGTTTAAGGCGCAGAGGATGGCAGAGAATTTAAGATGGGTTGGAATGTCAAGACAAGATTTAGAAAAGGTAAAGTAATATTTATAGTCCAAGTTTCTTATAGCCTGTTTTATGATTTTATATATCGCAACAGTACTGTTAGAGTGATTGAAACCATGTGTCCACTGTATGTCTTGTCTCTCTACGATTGAAATATTGTTATTCATTAAAAAAATTATCTTTCTCTTAATGTAATTAGTTTTTTTAGTGAAATGTTATCCTTTAATTGAACGGACGGGAAAATATGTAAAATAATTCTTTGCTAATGTCCTTTCAAATATTTGATAATATACTGAATCCATAAGCTTATACGGTTGTTAACCGATCTGGCCAATTTGTCTTACAGAGAGAAGACCAAAAGATTGTCCCAATAGAGGATATTTCGAGCTTCCAATCTAACAGGGAAGAAAATGAGGTGCAAGGTATATATTAAGAATTCCATGGATAATTGCTTTGTTAATTTTCAAGTTTTCGTTCCCTATTTGTTTTGGATATGATGATGGTTTTCCAAATTTCTAATCTTATTAACCGCGGTATGATCAGAAACTGAGCAATATAGCGACATGAAACACAATGACAGTGAAATTAATGATTTCTCATTGGGCTTCATCAATGATAGTGACCCTAGCAAGAACTATGAAGATGGTAACGTAGATGATTATTCAAGTTCTCCTAGTTTTGAGGTCGTTGAGGAAATAAAAGTAAACCATGGAATGCTTGTGTCGACTCGTCAAGTGGCCGAGACATTCTTTCACCAAATAGTTCCTTCTCAAACCGTCCAAGTTCAACTAAACTCAGTGACGGCAAACAATCATTATGTAGAGAATGCAGAGACAATGCTAATGATTACGGAGAAGCAAGGGTCTTTATTAAGGAAGGTTAAGGCCTATGTGATGGGGAAACTAGTGAGGCCAACAAAGACAATAGCAAGTGCGATTGTAATCGTCTTTGCACTTGTGTTAACGCATTGTGTTTATTTGATGGTAGAAGTGGAAATTTGGAATGAAACATGCTGCAGTAGTAGTGCTACTGTCATAATAAGTTAATCATCTCAGATAATGAAATGGAATGTGTCAAATGAGGTTTGGTTTGTTGGTATCAAAAGTGAGAAAGGATCAAGTGTAGTCTTGACGAAAATAGGCATTTTTCTTAGATCATTTTTCTGACTAGTTTGAGAACACTCCATTGTGCTTCTTCCTGGGATAACATACATACACTTGAATTTTACTTTGGTTTCACTTGTTGTTGGTTAAGATTTTGTTTTCGATATTAATTATGAATAGAATGTTCGCCATTGATTCTTTAATACTCGATTTTTACTTTAGCTCATACTTAATTATTATATTGCTAGTGATATCCAAAGCAAAAGATTGAGTAGACCGTGCATAAAGGAGTTACTATATGTATGTGATTGGTTTAGGTTTCATGACTTTCATTTCAATGAAAACGTATATCTTTAATTGGAATAGGTTTCAACAACAACAAAAAAGTTCAACCTATGAAATATATATTTTAAATCCAACCCAATGAACGTGATATTAATTATTTCAACATATTTGCATAAAAAAAAGTACGAAAATGTAGAATTTAAAGTTGAAAGCCTCTCGGATGCACCACAATTCTGTGTTTGGATTTAGGGTTCTCCTGTTTCTACAGAAATGAAGGGGTGGAAAGGTAGAGAAATGAGAGAGTTTACATGTTTGTTTCTAGTTATTTGTGGATGAATTAGTGAGATCCATCCTACCATAAACACTTTTGTGAAGAAATATAAAGAAACATGATAAAATATCTCTATTACCCTAAGTTGAAATTTTAATTTAATCATATTTTATAATATTTCAGTATGCTTTATAATTTAATCATACTATAAACAACTAATTATATTTTGATTTTAATTTAATTATAAATTATACTTTTTTAATATAACTTTAGAAATAAAATATTCTTATCATGAAAATTTAAAGAATATAATTGAATATATGATCATAATTAATAGATTATATTAATATAACTAATCGATTATATATATGAATTATCGATCATATTAAAAAAATAATGTTATTATATTTATTATATATGAAACATAGTTTTTTTAATATGTTTTATTTTAATAAAATTAAAATTATATTCAAATAAAATTTTAATTTAATTAAATATATTAATATTATAATGTAAGTTATTTATAAATTTAATTTTTTAATAATGTAATTTTAATGTATATTTTTATTTTTATTAGAATTTTTTTATTATATTTTATTTTTTTAATTAGTATGTGAAATAAAAATTTATATATGATTTGTAATTAATTATTTAAATAATTTAAATTTTAGTTTTAAATCATTTTTTTAAATTTTAAAAGTACTTATACATTTATATAATTATAAAAAATAAAATTTAAATATTCTATAAAATATTATAAATTATTTTTATAAATTTATATATAAATTAATTTCAATATATTTATATTTTTATCTATAATATAAATTCATTATTTCATATTAAATTATATCATAATTTTTATTTTAACTTATTTTACTTAAAATTAATAATAAGGATATTTTGATCAATATATTTTTTTATCTTATTATTTAATTTTTTTTATTCGATAACATCAATCTTATCTATTATATTTTCTCAATAATTTTTATTCACTTTTTATTCTCTTTCTTTTAATTCAAACCGTCTTACTTTCTATTGTCTTTTTTTCTTTTCCATTCTCTTAAATCCTTTTCATTATTTTTTCTTTTTTTTTCATTTTCTTAAATCCACTCCTCAGTGCAAACATACAGCTCTTAACAATGCAAAAGTTATTTTCTTAATAAAATCTTCCTTTTATCCCTTATGCATAAAATAATTTTTTGTTCAGCAAATTTATGTTTCAATTAACAAAATGACATGTCAAAGTTTGAAATTTATGTTTCAATGAATTCAAAAATTGGAATTTTTATTTTTTTTCATATATCTTACGTCTTATGTTGAACAAGTAAACTCTTTGATGGGGACTTAAAATGAGTATAATAACTATTCAACTATGATTGAACCATAATATAATAATTACAAGAGTTAAAGATAGTTAAATACATAAATAAGAAAAAAAATAAAAGTATGATAACATGAATAATTCATTCTTGAATTTATTCAATAATATTATGATTATATTGTATTAATTTTTTTTAATAAAGAACTAGTGATATGTTTTGACATTGATAACTTATTTATGTCAAACTTATTTAAAATTCAATGAACACATGAATGTTATATATATATATATATATATATATATATATATATATATATATATATATATATATATATATATATATATATATTATTTATCTTTAAAAATATAATGTTAAGAAATTAGATTTATAAATCTCACTCACTTTACTTTCCATTTAAGAAAATATGAAATTTTATTTTAATACTTAATTTTGTATATATTGTATTATTTTTAATTCAATTCAACCGTAAATCTAGCATATTCACTTCAAATAACAAAAATTAAGTAATCAGAACAAAGAAAGTAACAACTTAATTTAGACGAAATCGAGTATTAAGCCATCGTTCTTACATAAAAATATCAAATGCATCTATTTTTAAATGAGGGACCAAAATTACATACCAACCAAATAAAGAGACAAAAATTGTATTTAATTCTACTAATCTAATTAGAAGAAGTAACAATTTTAGGATGGACACAATGCAATGACAACATTTTTTATGTAAAGAGATAAATACAAATTTAGTTAGCCTAAATTGTTACATCCAAAATCTTGTTATCTTATTTTAAATTGGTTAGAGAAATCGGCAATTTTGATCTAATCTTCAATATTATATGTTTTTTATTTTGGTTCAATTGAACCTAGACTTAACAAACTCTTTAAAGTAATATAAAAAATATTTAATTAATTAAAACTAAGAAATAAAAATATTAGATAAAACTTAAAATTAAACCAAAATTAAGAATTTTTGAAAATGGAAAACCAAAACATAAATAATTCAAAATTATATTTCAGCGTTTTGCTACTCAGTTTTTTTCTCCCTGAATAAACCTTAACCTAGTGAAACAGAATTATGCCTTATTTTTTGATAAATTACATTTAGATAAGGCCATAAACAAACTTTGTCATCATTAATTGTCTTAGGTGCACTTTTTTGTGGCAAGAAGAACATATCGAGATTAGTTAAAACATTTAATGAAAGATGTATTGTAAAAATCTCATCATGATTTAATTTTTTTAATGAAATGAAATTTTTACACGCTATATATGTAGTTTGAGTAATCTTCAAATAAACTTTTGGATAATGAGGAATTAAAGGTGAACATTCTATTTGTAATTGGGATAGAATTCAATTAAGTCTTACCAGAATACAAGTGGTGTTAAAGTAAAATATAACAAGTATATGTATGGATACTTCAGCCTCCTACTTAACCTGGGAGAAGCACAATTTGAGCTTTCTCAAACTAAATCCTTAAGTTAGAGACAAAATTAAAAGAATATTTGGGGATCAATTGTGGTTAGCCCACATGGTACAAAGAGCCAATGATATAGTCAGAAAAATGCATATTTTCTTCAAGACTGCACTTGATCCTTTCTCACTTCTGATACCAACCAACCAAACCTCATCATTTGACTCATTCCATTTCATCATCTGAGACGATTGTCTCATTGTCTTCATGTTGGTAGCACTAATATCAGTGTATGTCTCATTCCAAATTTCAACTTCTTCCTTCAAATAAGCACAATGCATCAACACAAGTGCAAAGATGAATACAATCGCACTTGCTATTGTCATTGATGGCTTTATTAGCTTCCCCATCACATAGGCCTTAACCTTCCTTAACAAAGACCCTTGCTTCTCCATTATCATTATCATTGCCTCTGCATTCTCTACGTAATGATTGTTTGCCATCACTGAATTAAGCTGAACTTGGACGGTTTGTGAAGGAACCATCTTGTGAAAGAATGTCTCGGCCACTTGACGAGTCGAAACAAGCATCCCATGATTGACCTTTTTTTCCTCAACAATCTCAAAACCAGGAGAGCCTGAATAATCATCCGTGTTACCATCTTCTATGAAGTTCTCTGTAGCGCCGTCATCATTGATGAAACCCAATGAGAAATCATTGATTTCGGTGTCATTATGTTCCATGTTACTGTGTTGCTCAGATTCTGATCATACCACAATTACTATAAGATTAGATGGTTGTGTTGAAAGATGATACAAATTCTAGAAAGATCTAGAATATAAAATCTTAGATGTTACTAGAATTAGGAATTATATATGAGTAATATCTAGAATCCTTAGAAGATTCTAGAAATGTTTGAAAGTAGAAGATAGATGATTCTAGAATTAAGAAAATATAGAATTATGTAAAACTTCTAGAATTATGTAGAAAACATATGTGTACTAATGAAAATAGTAGAAAATTCTAGAATCTTGTAAGTAAAGCCTATAAATAGGCATGAAGGGAGTATTTGTATGTGTGGAAAATCTAATACAAGCTCCTACATATCTTGTAACACTTCTAACATCAATTACTATCTTCCCTCATACAAACCTTCTCCTATTTGTCCACCTCTTTCTAAAAACTATTTTCTACACAAATCTCACTACTAAACATCAAACTATCTTTCCTATCCTTCTTAAAATACTAACAGTGGTACCAGAGCTACGTTCGGTCACCTATCGGGCGTAGAGAAAATTTTTTACTACCTTAAAAAACCATATTCCACTACACATTACTTCCAAAAGAAAATTTTCAACCTATGGCCACTACCAACCAAACATCATCCATTCCAGTTCCTATTTTTAAGGGAGAAAATTATGATTTTTGGAGAGTCAAAATGAGGACATTTTTTTGTTCTCAAGATCTTTGGGATGTCATTGAAGATGGGTTCACTATTCCGGAAGACATCTCAACTCTTACAGCTGCCCGGAGGAAGGAGTCGAAGGAAAACAAACAGAAGGATTCAAGGGCATTATTCACTCTTCAGACAAGCGGTTGATGACACTATTTTTCCAAGAATAATGGGTGCCACAAGTGCAAAGGAAGCTTGGAATACAATTCAGGAGGAGTTTCAAGGAAGTGATGAGGTACGCAATATTAAACTCCATTCTCTAAGAAGAGAATTTGAGTTAATAAGAATGAATGAATCGAGACCATAAAAGACTACTATTCTAAAATAAAAGAAATAGTTAGTCGGATGAGAGCCTATGGGGAAAATATTCTTGACAAGAAAATTGTTGAGAAAATTCTAATTTCTATTCCCCAAAAATATGATGCAATTGCAACTGCAATTGAACAAACAAAAGATTTATCTACATTATCGGTGACACAACTAATAGGCTCTCTTGAAGCATATGAACAAAGATTGAAAAGGCGTGAAGAAGACTCCGTCGAAAATGCCTTTCAATCAAAACTAAAATTACGGTCTCAAAATGGAGGAAATAAAATTAATAGAGAACTTTCTAAGAATAAGGAAAATTCTAGAAATTTTTCCAAGACTATTCAAGGAAAATATCCTCCATGTGGAACTTGCAAAAAGACAAGTCACTTGGAAAAAGATTGTTGGCATCGAGGAAAACCTCAATGTCAATACTGTAAGAAATTTGGACATCTAGAGAAAATGTGTCGCAACAAAAATATCAACAAGCAAATTTTGCTGAAAAACGGGACGAGAGAACAACATCTCTTCTATGCTACGGGATGTTTTGACAATGAATCAAAAGGAAGATGGTACTTGGACAGCGGATGTAGTAACCATATGGCGAATGATCCAAGCATCTTCAAAGAAATTGATAACTCCATCAAAGTTCAAGTACGACTGGGAAATGGCACCGTGGTAGAGTCAAAAGGAAAAGGCGGTGTTATGGTGGAGACCAAGAAAGGTATGAGACTTATCAATGATGTTTTACTAGTTCCCAATCTTAAAGAAAATCTCTTAAGTATTGGTCAAATGATGGAGAAAGGATATACTCTCCACTTTGAAAGAGATACATGCACTATCTACGATAAGAAAAATCTAGAGATTGGCCAAGTAAAAATGGAAAAGAGAAATAGAAGTTTTCCTATAAGCTTCAATCGAGGAACTAACATTGCCATGAAAGTAGAAGTTGATGACTCGTGGCTATGGCATCGTAGATTTGGTCACTTCAATACTCATGCCTTAAAGCTACTACATCAAAAAGGCATGATGAGAGATCTACCAAGCCTTAAGGAGAGTAGTGAAGCTTGTGAAGGATGTCTTACTGGGAAAGCAACACATGATTACCATTTTCTACGGGAAATACTTGGAGAGCAAAAGACTTGTTGGAGTTAATCCACACGGATATTTGCGGACCAATGAGGACTCCATCGCTTAATAACAACAGGTACTTCATTCTCTTCATTGATGATTTTTCTAGAATGACTTGGATCTACTTCATCAAAGCAAAATCAGAAGTCTTTAGAATATTCAAGAAATTTAAGGCCCTTGTCGAAAAGCAAAGCGGAAAACAGATAAAGGTTCTCAGGAGCGATCAAGGCAAAGAGTACACCTCCCACGAATTTGATAAATTCTGTGAGGATGAAGGTATTGAGCGACAACTTACAGTCGCATATTCTCCACAACGGAATGGTGTCTCGGAGAGAAAAAATCGCACTTGTCATGGAGATGGCAAGATCAATGTTGAAGGAGAAAGGCTTGCCAAATACATTTTAGGCGAGCGGTTTACACTGCCGTATATATACTCAATAGATGTCCAACTAAGGTAGTCCAAAACAAGACTCCTATTGAATCTTGGAGTGGAAGAAAGCCATCGGCTAAACACCTACGAATATTTGGATCAATTTGCTACATACATGTTCCCGATCGGAGGAGGCATAAGCTTGAAGACAAAACTATAAGAGGAATATTCTTGGGATACGACCAACGATCAAAAGGCTATCGAGTCTACAACCTACAAACAAAGAAACTCATCATCGATCGAGATGTTGAGGTTGACGAAAATGCTTTTTGGAATTGGGAAGAAGAAAAAGTTGTTAGAAGCAACATCCTGGTTCCAAGTACAACAACTTGAAGAAGAAACAGGAGATCCAGGTACGCTTTCTCCACCTCCACAAGAAGAAGAAGAATATACTTCACCGAGTCTACACCAAGACGTGTAAGATCTTTGGTAGATATATATGAAACTTGTAACATGGCCATCATTGAGCCTTCCTGCTATGAAGAAGCTTCAAAGCAAGAAGTATGGGTCAAGGCCATGGAAGAAGAAATCAAAATGATTGAGAAGAATAATACTTGGGAGCTTGTGGACTCGTCCTCACGGAAAATATATCATTGGAGTAAAATGGATATATAAAACTAAGCTCAACCCCGATGGAACCATACAAAAATATAAGGCAAGATTGGTCGCAAAAGGATACTCACAACAACCTGGGATCGACTACAATGAGACTTTTGCTCCAGCTTGCTCGCCTAGATACAATTAGAGCTTTAATAGCCCTTGCTGCACAAAAAGGTTGGAACATCCATCAACTCGGATGTCAAATCGCCTTTCTCAATGGAACACTAGAAGAAGAGATCTATGTTGAGCAACCACAAGGATTCATCAACAAAGGCCACGAAGGAAAAGTACTAAGACTAAGAAAAGCTCTATATGGCTCGAAGCAAGCTCCTCGAGCATGGTATAGTAAGATTGATAAATATTTTATCGATCAAGGATTTAGGAGGAGCAAGAGTGAGCCAACACTTTATATCAAGACACAAGGTCGAGTATAATCTCATTGTCTCCTTATATGTTGATGATCTCATCTATACAGGAAACAATAAGGAAATGATGAAAGAATTCAAAGAAGATATGATGAAAACATTCGAAATGACTGATCTTGGCTTGATGAACTACTTCCTCGGGATAGAGGTGATACAACAAAAAGAAGGAATATTTATCTCTCGGAAGAAATATACTCGAAGCTCTACTAAAGAGATTCAAGATGTACGGATGTAAACTTGTCACTACTCCTTTGGTGGTAAACGAAAAGCTAAAGAAAGATGATGGAGCACCGGAAGTAGACGTATCACGATACGGGAGTTTGATCGGAAGCCTTCTATATCTCACAGCTACACGACTCGGACATTATGTATGCTACAAGTCTTCTGTCAAGATTCATGCAAAAGCCAAGTCGGATTCACTATGGAGCAGGAAAAAGGATTTTAAGGTATCTCGCAAGGCACAAGAGAGTTTGGTATATGGTACAAGACCATGACCAACTCAAGGATGATTTGCTACACCGACGGTGATTGGGCAGGATCAATAGACGACATGAAGAGTACGTCGGGATACGCCTTCTCACTTGGATCGGGTTTTTTCTCATGGGCATCAAAGAAGCAAGCAACCGTGGCACAATCAACGACTGAAGCGGAATACATAGCTAGCTGCTGAAACTACAAGTCAAGCAATATGGCTACGAAGAATACTTGAAGAAATGGGCGAACCACAAGATGGACCAACTACTATTTATTGCGACAACAAATCAGCAATAGCAATGACGAAAAATCCTGTTCATCATCAAAGAACAAAACATATAGCTATTAAATATCACTTCATCGGAGAGGTCGAGCGACTAAACAAATTCAACTTGAGTACTTGCACTACGGAAGATCAAATTGCGAGACATATTTACCAAGGCACTACCAAGAGCCAAGTTTGAACAATTACGTTTCATGCTTGGAGTTACAAGAATTTGCATCAAGGAGGAGTGTTGAAAGATGATACAAATTCTAGAAAGATCTAGAATATAAAATCTTAGATGTTACTAGAATTAGGAATTATATATGAGTAATATCTAGAATCCTTAGAAGATTCTAGAAATGTTTGAAAGTAGAAGATAGATGATTCTAGAATTAAGAAAATATAGAATTATGTAAAACTTCTAGAATTATGTAGAAAACATATGTGTACTAATGAAAATAGTAGAAAATTCTAGAATCTTGTAAGTAAAGCCTATAAATAGGCATGAAGGGAGTATTTGTATGTGTGGAAAATCTAATACAAGCTCCTACATATCTTGTAACACTTCTAACATCAATTACTATCTTCCCTCATACAAACCTTCTCCTATTTGTCCACCTCTTTCTAAAAACTATTTTCTACACAAATCTCACTACTAAACATCAAACTATCTTTCCTATCCTTCTTAAAATACTAACAGGTTGTTTGAACATGATCATCATTTACAAAAATTATAAAGAAAGTAAACTGAAGTATTAACGAAACAATCATGCATGGAATTCTGAATATATACATATACCTTGCACCTCATTTTCTTTCATTATTGTTTGGAAGCTTGAAATATCCTCTATTGGCACAATATTTTGTTTTTCCATCTGTAAATACAATTGATCACATCAACCATATTTTGGGCCATATTAAAAAGTTTTATCCCAGAAAAAAATCTTAATTGGCTAATATTTATTAACAAAATTAAAGAAACTTGAAGAAATAAACAATACTATACCTTTTCTAAATCTTCTTTTGACATTCCAACCCACCTTAAATTCTCTACCATCCTCTCTGCCTTAAATTCTTCATCCATATCTCCGATCTCTATTGTCCTTGTGTTTGCGTCTTCCCATGCTTTGTCAACATACCTCACTGAGTTCATTTCATTTGAATGGTTGTAATTGGTGCCGACCATGAAGGTAAAATCGTCTTCACGAGGAGCATAATAATCATTGCCAACCCATTCCTGTGAGTAACTGGATTGATTTATTAACTCCTTAGAAGCATGAGCAACTGAAAGAATTTCCTGCAAAATATCCGTTTCAGTTCTGCTTCCTTGCATGGAACTAGAGGCTTGTGCCATTTTCAGCTCTGACATTCCAACTTGTGGGAAGTCCTCCACCTCCAAAGGGGGCATAACAAACCTATGCTGCATTCTTGCACACTCTAGTGCTATATCCACCTGAAAATTAATCAAGTGTAAGAGAAAAAACAACATTTAATTAAATTATCTTACAAGCATTTTTCATATTTAAAACACTGAGGTCGTATATATATATTAAATTTAAACGAGATTTTTCATATTTAAAATACTTAATTTGTGCAAAAACTATTACTGTAGTTACCTTGGATGGAGGGTATGGAATGGCTCCGAAATGGGGAAATGAAGAAGTGGGAAGACTGAATAATGGGTCTTGTGATGAGAAGTGTGACCATTTCTCATGATCCTTCATCCCACCATTGATAATCAGTGAAGTTTCATTTCTCACGTTGTGGGGTGAATAAGTATCCATTGGCGTAAGATAATTTGAGCTATCTAAGTCTTCACCCCTTCCTTCAGGGTATAGTTCAATGCTTGATGATTGATCGCTGGTAATCTGATTGACAATGGGAACATGAACATACTGCCCCTCAACTTTTGGGGGAATCACTGCACTCTTCTTCAACACACGGCAAAGAGCATATGCATCCTGAAATTACAAAAAGGAGCCATATACAGCAAGAAAAGAATGCATAGTTATTAGACTATATATTGGTCGTATGCGCACGGTTATATAAAATAGCTTGACGAATTAAATTTGTAGCTTTTTTTTAGTGAAAATAAAATAAAATGAAACTAAAAAACATGAACGAAGAAAAACAAATCCAAATCGAAAAGTGAAAATGAAATAAAAGTGCGCGGAAAAAAAAATAAAAGAAAAAGAGTGAAGTGGTGATGAAAACCTGCAAGCCGGAAGCAGTTTCGCATTGTGTCTCATCAAGACGGTATTCATGCATAACCCAATTTGTACGAGAGCCATGGGGTGCTCTTCCTCGATAGTAAACTAGGGTTTTCTTCATCCCCACAGCCCGAGCCTTTGAATTTACTTTCCTATCCTTCCCTGTCGCCTTCCAATACCCAGATTTTGTTGCACGGTTTGTTCTTGATCCATTCGGGTATTTTCTATCACGAGGGCTGAAGAAATACCACTCCAGGTCCTTCCCCGGTAACAATGATTTCCCTGTAATTTTGACAACATATACTCAAATTTAATTTCAATATTTTCACAAACACTTGCACTTATAGCAAAGGTTTCTTCTGTTTAATAATTTTCCCCATATATATTTCACAGTCTTCACGTCAACTCCAAAGGCGGTAAAGTAAAGGGCAAAGGGAGGAGAGTTATAAGAAAACGTAAAAAGTATACTGCATGGGAGTCGTGTAGAAATGTACAATTATATCGTGTATAATACAGTGTAATCCTTTTTTTCAGTGTACGCTTTTTGACTTGGGAATCTACTATTGTCTCATTACTAGCTTGACCATCACAATAGGAACCCTAAAGCTGAAGGGACCATCCTCTTTAGAATTCTTAAGTACAATCCTTTCCACCAAATATATCGCATTAGATATTTTCTGATAAAGCACAAAAATATACTTGACCAAGAAACCAAGTCTGTGTTTCATCATTACTCAATACATACATCGGAAACAAATCGCTCGTAAGGCGCGTGCGACTTTTTTAATAAACAGTGTTTTAGGTTGCATATGTTAAGCCCTACAAAATCATTATGTAATAACTATTTACATATAATAAAAAAAAAAATAAAGTTGAGATATTTTATTAAAATTTATCTTGATGATGTTAAAATCTGTGCATCTTCATGGGATTTTCTTATTGTCGATTTTCAATCTTTGATCTCAACAAATAAAACCAAGCTCCCAGAAAAAAGAAGAAGAAGTAGGAGCTGCATATCCATGCCTGAGATGAGATGCATATAATGAAAATATGTCAAGTGTACAAGCTGAGTAAGCATGTGATGAATTACCTGGTAAGTCCCAGGGTTCACACTTGTAGAGATCAACTTCAGGAATGATCTCCAACTCAATCTTTCGGCCATTGATCTTCCTTTTAAGGTAATAAGCAACAAGTTCTTCGTCAGTAGGGTGGAACCTGAAACCAGGAGGCAAAACAGATGCCATTTGTATATTTATATATACTTTGAACCTCCTTCTTCTTCTTTATCTTAACAACTTGGGAATATCAACGAGTGCACAAAGCTTCAATTCCCCTCCCTGTCATGCAAAATATCGTCGAAAAAAGAACGATGTTAGCAGATTAAAACAAGCATGACGTTTTTTATATGCATATATGTGAAAAACATATATAGTTACAGTGGATAGAAGACGAAAGGGCATAGACCTTAGGGAAGAAGAAGATCCAAAGACAGAGAGTGGGAGAGACAAATTAAGAGAGGGACGCGAGAGAGAGAGAGAGAGAGAGAGAGAGAGAGAGAGAGAGAGAGAGAGATGAGAGGCAAAGAGGAGAATGGGTGGAATGGGCTTGCTTGGGGTTTTGATAAAGAGGACAAAAAGAGAATTGAAGAGAGAGAAGATTCGCAGGAAAAAAAGTTGGATGCATAGGCCAGAGGGTTGTGTCATCCTTTGATCTCTTTTTCTTTTTCAACTACTTTTTATTTGTTTGTTTATCAAATGCATGGATTCCTGTTATCTTTGCTATCAAGTTTGAAGTAATGCATATTTACTATTTAATTATACGCATATATGAGATATATGATTTTCTCCTCTCCTCTGCTGCATCCATTGATCCTATGCTTCTTCATTGTTCTTTCTTGGATTCTAAGTTCATCCACGTACGTACAACTTGCTACTACCTGCATCATCCCACCCTAGCTGTTATTCCAAAGAAGGAAACTTTAAAAAACAACCTATGACGGCTGTTCTTAACTGAACAAACGGTCCTACCTTTCACATTTGTTGTTTCCTCTAAACTTATAATGATTTTCATATAGTGTTTTAATTACATCAAAACCAACTTATCTTCAAAATCGTCTTAGCCTAAACGATTAGCTGGTCCAAAAAATAAAAAATATGATGGTAAAATTTTATTTCTGTAACAATGTATATAGTTTATGATGCATGGAAATATTTTCATACTCATTTCCGTAACATAAAATTGATGTGTGAACATTGCTAATGATCATAAGGTGACGACGACTTACAAGGAAATTTAAAAGTGAGCGTTCATACATACTTTCCATAATGAGCATTATTTTATATTTACGACAAAGAAAAAGAATAGTACCGAAATAAATAAATAAAAAAGGAAAGAAGAGAAGCAACTAGGTTCAAGCATTTGTTTGAGCACATGGACAACAAATAAATTAAGTGGAAAGCGGGACCAGCTTTTGCCACGTGAACGAATTAAGTTGTCCACGTGGCATAGCGTGATGACTTGTAGGTTATCTCATTCTTTTTCCATAATCTCAAATTAAGTTTCTCTCTCTCTCATGCTTTCCCTTTCATGAATCCATCCATCATCATTTGGTGCTTTTTCTCCTTTATGAGTTTATGCTTTCTTTGCCTTTTCTTCCTACTCCCATCCAATCTACAACAACTTCTCTTTCCTTCCTTTCTCCTCTCTCTTTTCTACGTTAACATGAAACCCAATCTCTATTTGAGCCAAAAAATAAATTATGATTATTTTTAAAAGTAGATTCTTCTCACAATATATGATGATTATACACTCTATCAAAAAATATATTATAATTAAATTTCTACAATCAATGTTAATTAAAAACGGATTAAAATTTTCATCATGCAAAGTTGGTAATCATTGAATGGTAAGTTTATACTTGTGATCAGAAAAGATAGGTCGGTGCATTATCTCAGAACAATAAAGCAATACCCATTTGAACGCACTTACATAGCTTAATTGAGTTGTTTGGTTTTCTTTCTAGTATACTCTACAGATATATTCTCAATGGAAAAATATTATAACTATTTCCATAATAATTAATTTTTAGAAAAACCTATGCATGTATGCAAAGTATATTGCTGCCGAAAGGAAACAATCAGACATGTCTTTTCAGCTTGAAATCTGAAATTCTGAGAAATAAAAAACACCTACTCAGATCCTGGTGAAGGTTCAGATGGATCAAAAGTAGAGCTGTGAATTCAAGCCAATCTGAAGCCAAAAGAATGCACTAGGCCAATGCATCTTTGGACTGATCTAGATTGTGTCACACTGTAATTTTCATAATTTTCCCAACTTATTTATTAGGTTAATTAGGTTACCCTATAATTATTTGAACCTATTTTAATACATGTAATAGAAATAACACTAAAGTAATAGTTGTATAATATAATTTTTATTTTTTATTTTCAGAAAGAGTATAGCTCTAACCTAATTTAATCTGCTAAAAAATGAATAAGTTACCCAAAAACATGTCATGTCATGTCATGTCATCTGTATATATTATAGGTGTATATATTCAAAATTTAAATTCGATATTGTTGATTTACTTTCTTGGTACCTATGCTTCATTTCAATTATTGTTTTATATTGGCGAAATAATACATACAGTGCAAGTAAAAGAAAAATGAAGTTCTTCCTATCTTAAAAAAATCACTTTTTGCCGACCAACTTTTAGAAACCATCGATTGGAACCGCCTCATGTTTTTTAAACTTGTATGTGATTGTGTGGTTCAAAGTTCAACAAATCCAATGGAGAATGGTAGAGACAAAAATCATTTCATAATACTCATAACAAAATGGAATGACATAATGATTGACTTTTGCGTACATACGAGTGAATTTCAACACTTACCCATCCAACGATCACTCTAAATCTTTTCCGAAAGTTACCCTCTATTTCTGGACACGTTGGAATTTCAAGTTGCTAAGAAAGTCATACTCATGAGTTTAAACCTCAGCACATTTGTTATACCAAAAGGAAAGTGGGATCAGAGAGCAAGAAAGTTTGATTTGTAGCAAGTATCACTTTTGTTTGGGTGAAATAAAAAATCTGCCATATCTTTATTCATAAGAGAAAGGTTAAAGGAGCAAACCACAGACTTTTATTACTCATTATTTCCCATAGGTTAATTCAAGGCATCATGTGAGAGTTGACTAAAAACCACAACAGCAAATTCTAATACAATGAGAAAAAGCAGGAACAAGCCAGCAAATTCTATTACAATGATGGAAAACAAGCATGCGTGCTTCATTAGTCGAGTCCTAACATCTTCCTGAAGTGAAGGGCAAACTGGTAGACCTTCTCTGGGTCTGGCAGGACTTTGGCAACAGACTCCCTTTGCAAACACCTCTTAATCCAAGCTGAGATCTTTGGTGAATGGTCTTCAATTTTGAATCCCCCGAGCCTCTCATAGGTCAAAAACCAAGCTGAATGAGGAATCGCTATGATGTCCAGATATCCAAAGGCATCACCACCAAAATAGTTCTTCTCCCCCAGAGCTTCCTCAAGATGCGTTAAAATTTCAAAGAAGTCCCTGGTGGCCACTTCTCTCTCTTCTCCATTGCTTGCCCAGATGCTCCTCCCGGTTTCAAATACCTTCCATGCATATGCAATTTTATCAGAACTTATCATCACAATTTTAGCACACCCATCATGGGATTTAGACATAAGCGACATAAATAACAAATGATATGTTATAATGTCACATTGATAACACTTTACTGTCCAAGTATACTCTACGTTTCAAAGTAATCAAATCCACAAACCACATCATCTTAAACTAAAGATATTGAGCACAAATTTTGAATATATAGAAATTTCAACACTAAATAGTAAGTGATCAAATTGTCTTAGACTTAAATAAGAGTAAATATCATATATATTTACCTTGTATACTATCATCTAACTATAAACTATTATGTTTAGTAATTTATTTTCTTTAATAATAACTAGAAAGCTATATTATTAAAAATAAACATTCATAGATAGTACTCTTTATATTGTTCGTGCATAAAAAGGAAAGTTTGGAGATGATAGTTAACTGTATAAAACATAAACAAACAAATTTGGCACACATTATTTTTATATATTAAGAACGAGGCAAGTTACCTTTTTGTCGATGTAATCAACCCAGAATCTGGCTTGGGCACGATCATAAGCGAGAGTTGGAAGCAGAGAGTTGAAAGGCCAAGCTTCATCAATGTAGCTAACAATGATAGCAGACTCAGCAATAGGTTTGTCATTGTGCAAAAGCACAGGAACTTTTTGATGAATGGGATTTGACTTCAGGAGAAGCTCGCTCTTTCCCCCAAACAAATCCTCTTCACTGTCAACATGGCTCACCCCCTTCTCTTCCAAAGCAATTTTCACTCTAGCACAAAATGGACTAGCCCAAAAGTCCAAAACCACAACCTTATCACCCTTTGACATGTTATCCTCTAGAATTTGATTTCTTTCTTTTCTCTTGTTTTGTTGTCTGTTCTGGGATGAGCATAAAATGTGAGAGAAGTGTAAATTTATAGTAAAACAACTAGATTAGATGAAATCTTTGGAATGTACACAATTCCTACAATGTTCTTAGCTTCGTACCTCACAATGTTTCTACAATCTTGTAAGTGTAAATTTTTGTGTTTTGGTTTCGACAGCCTTTAGTGGAGCTGTAACTGAAACTTGGCGTGGGGTGGATAAGGATGTAGTATCAATTGGCCGGCCGAATGTTAAATAGTTATCATATTTTTAATAATATTGACGGTGAATCCAAACTGTGTAGAAATTAACTATATATTATGATTTCCATGAATTATTTTACGCTCTATTTTGCCCCTATAAAAATAACAACGGATAGGCCTATTACACCATTAAACTCCAGGCTTTCTATTAACCACTTAAACATAGTAAATGGTCAATCACCGACATGTCAAATCAAATTCAATCAATAATAAAATATATTTCAGAAAGAGTAATAATGACTAATGTTTGCATTTCTCTTTGCACAATTAATTAGCGCTTGAAAAATAAAGGCATACTTCCCTAATTTCATAACAATTGGATGGAAAGGAGAACTCTGAAACAATGAATTTTTGCAGGGAAACAGACCAGTCATTGGAGTTAACAAATAATCATCCATCTGTCAACAATTAATACACTTTGCAGAGGAAAACAGTAATTGAATAAAGAAATGAATATGATAAAAAACGGTTCTGTACATTTATGTACAAAAGAATTGCACTTCTGATTTCTCCAGTAAAAGTATACCCAACAAAACTAAATTTATTCCTATTGCACAGCATTGGCCTTTGAAACTTTTAAGCAAACGCACATATGAAGAAAATACTCGGGATTCATCAAGTTGTTAACCACCCAAGAAAAAGGTATCTCTAAAATTGGTTCTATCCCTTGAATGCGAACAAATTTGATTTCAGCAATCTCAACTGCGTTGAAAGATGACCCGGGATCAGATGATCTTTCTCCCTCTTCTCCACTTTGGTTGATGTTTGCATCTCCTTCAATAACAAAGAAATTTTCTGGAAAAAACTCCGGTAATATTCGTTTAACCGCATCATTTAAGCTAAAGTATTTACCTGCATGCAACAGATATAAAAGACAAATTTCAGTTAAATTGTAGAAAAGTAAAGATTATGCTAACAATAAAATAACATTTTCAATTAATTGCAATCAATTTTCACTAGAGACAGATATAGCAAAGGATGCATGGACACTTCAGTAGTAGTTGTACCCATGACAGACACGCATTTAGACACTTCGAATACAAGTAGCTGGAATTTTACAATTATTTACTTTAATATTTTGAAATTTTATACGACTATAGATGAAAATATCACAACAATTAGACAATAACAATAACAGCATTCTCTTCAAAATTGTGTTGGATAAAATTGTTCATTAAAAACTTACAAGGAAAGAAAATAAAAACATATTAATTAAACTTTTCTATAAGCTAAAAAATTTAACATATAAATGAGTTAAAAATAATCTTGTAAAAAAGCTAATATAAAAAGAACTTCTACAAATTAATTTATTTAGTTTATGACGAAATTTATTTAACTTTTTTTCCTACCTTCAAGATCTTGTGGAAAAATTTACCCAAATAGATTTTGTTTGGCTAAAATTATACATGTCAACTATGTAATTTTGTTTTGATTAATGATTAATTGTACTTTTGACTCTATAATATACCAATATGCATTTTTTGTCCTCCAATAATTTTTTTATACTCAGGTTAATTCTCCGAATTCTTTTTAAGTTCTTCGATAATTCTTCCTAAATCTTTCAGTTAACCCATTTTTCCTCTCAAAATCACCAAGAATTCAATCAATCAAACCATTTTAAATCCTCTTTCGCTCAAAACAGACTAAAAAGAATTTCATAGTTCACCCAATACAAGAAAATCCCAAATTTCCTCGCTTTTTGAAACCCTAATATCACATTTTACAAAATCTTTTAGATTTCATAAAATCATGGACTTTTGAATCTTTCAAATCATTTTATATCCCAAATTTGTCCTAAACTATCAAATATTTTAGTAGAAAATAAGAACATGAGGGTTTTACGAAGAAACTAACAAAGAGGAGTTGATAGCAACAATTACAATGAAAATCAGTGAAATAAATACAAACAAAAAATTATTGGCACACCAAAATCATACATTAATCATAATAAAGGAACCGGAAATGCAATTATCCATTTAACATAAGATTTGTGTTCCTGTGAAAATGTATATTAAGTTATATTATATGTTATTATGTTACATCCATTACATAAAATTTGTGTTCTTATAATAGATGTATAGAGTTATATATTATATATGTTACATCCATATGGTATCCTAAAATAGTTAAAATTTTGGCGTGTCATTATATTCTTATCCCATTTTGTCGCCATACTTTCTAAACTAATGCATGTTTACCTCTAGTGAGCATTATCAACTTATTTAAATCTCAACTCCCATCCCTAAAAATATTTAGCAATAACTAAAATCGTGACAGAAGATAAAGTGCTAACAAGAAAAAAAACTTGAAGATGATTTAGACATTCTGATTGTCATAATTTTTCAACATGTGCCTCATTTATTAAATCATACTCCTCAGACAAAAAATTTCCCATATAGTACATTTCTTAGTCTTTCATTTGTTTCGTGCTTTAAATGATGTTTTTTCTCACTCTTTTAACCCCTAATATACAAGTTTTCCATTTAATCTCTTATTCATAAATTAAGAAATTGCAAGGACTAAATTACAATTTCATAAAAATGGGAAATTTAGTATTTTTGAAGAATTAAAACATTTGATTAGAAGATAACAAACAGCATTGAAATAAGGGTTGTGGTATTCTTGGTGTTGATGAGCCAGTGATCTTAGTATCATACAATATGTAGCCTTAACCGTACAGGCATTATTTGTCCACTGGTGAATAGAATCCCTTTCTCCAACGTGGGCATAAACCTCCAAATGCACCAACTTAGAGCGGAGTCTCGTAATAAGCAATTTATTCTTTTTTTTTTTTTGGAAAATTAGTAATTTACTTTAAAAATATGTAATCCCGCTTTAATTTTATGATTTCCGTTATGTAGCCTCTGGCACTTAATACATGTGTAAAGAAAGCACTTCAAAGGTTTATTTGCATCCAGTTACCAAGAACCACTGCTTCTACTTGGGCAATAAATAAATGAAAGATTTTAATAAATCGTCAACTGTTTTGGAAGCAAATGAAAATAAGTTTGTGTGGATGTACGTTATGTTTGGAGAAACTTGGTTAACAAATACAATAATGGTAAACGTGCTTCTTTCCTTAATCTGTGACACAATATGGGTTTTTATTACGACCGGGAATTGTTTGAATTGATAATCTAGGAAACTGAAGCACTGTATATTTGAGTTATTATCTTCTCTTTGCTTTCTCTTTTTCATATTATCTTTTAAGAGGTTATAATATTGCTTAATTCATGAGATTTTCCGTTCTCTTCAAATAATATTTTGTAAATGTTCATTTTTGTGATCAAGACACAATCCAATTATATTTATGTGGTCAAGATACACAACCTTTTAGAAAGCACATAACAATGTGAACAGAGACATGATATAAGCACAAGCACCATGATCACACAACCCCCACTGAAAGAAAAATTAATTATTTATATAAACTATATTAAATGACCCAAAACACCTAACAATAAAAAGTGACTAAAACTTCCATAATACAGGGGGAAAGAGTTAAGATGGATGAATAATCTAACCCTACGATTTAATTAACAATAAGGTCGATAAATGAATTGAAATTGCAACTAACATGACTGAAAGTGTATATGGATTAAATCATGCTCTAAAGTTGAAAATATCATATATCACATTTCACGTATTCTTCTTTTATGATATTAAACAAAGAAGTAATAACGAAAATGGAGAAAAAGAGCATGAGGACAATATCCTATAAAACAAGAGAACAAGGGCAGAAAAGAGAAAAATCAAAAGAGCTTTTCAATCTTCTAGTGGAGAAAAAAATAGTTCCATTGCATATATCTTGTAAAGAAAAGCCCCCATAAAAAGTAGCATTTACCAACTATTACGAACATAAGCTTTTCTCACCGAAGGTGAGAACTGTCAAGTAAGGTAATACGCCAAATATGTTGTGGATGGCAGCAACCTAGGCTGCAATGAATGGCATCTCTTTGTGCTTCCATCATGAAAGCATCCATGCATGGAGAGTTTCCCATGCCTCATAGTATGCTTATTATTCATCTTATTACGCTTCACAGTACATCTATTGTATATTATCCTTATTTTCCATACTTCATCTGTGCTAATTGCTCTTCAATTCATTTTTAACTCGTTTTTTTTTAAACTGTATTCTTTGGTTTTTCATTCTACTAAATTCTCAGGACACAACTAGCGGGCTAATACTCAACTGAGGTTCTGTCTTTTCCATCTTAGTTCATACATATTTAAGTTTGAGCCTTATTCGCACTGTTGATAAATTGTCCTTGATGAATAATTATTTTTTCCCCAAAAAAAAATATATATGATTTGGTCTATAGCTCCTGATATAATACTAGGTCCTTTAATATAGATTTTATGTTAATTATTTTTTTCTCTAACATGATTGTTTTCCTTTCCCCATCGCCCCCACTACTCCATCCTTCACAAAACTAAGGCTGATTTTTGCCCTTACATCATCGCCCATCATGCAACATTGACAACATGATGTCTATTCCCATACAAGGTAAAAAACAAAAATCATGGAAAACAATCAATTTAAAATTTACAAAGGTGGATTCTGTACAAGACATGACTTACCATCTTCCTTATGAATCTCAACAGGTCGATTGATATACGAGACTTTGTCCCAATTATCAATTTGAGGAGCACCTTCAAAATCATCAAACTCCTCATTGACAGTCCACAGATATAAACGAA